ATTTTATTGTCCCACTGCAAGTGCCTTAACACAACTACAATTTTTACTTGTTATAAAAACAAAAAGGACAAGTCAAAATAACTTTCTGTGGTAATCAACATTATGCAGCAAAAGCTTGCAGATAAAACTTGCATTGAACCTGGAACATTCCTTTAAAAAGAGCTCTGGGTTGAGCTCATGACTCAATATTCTTTACCTGCAGTGCAGTTAGACGTTCCTCTAATGTTTGCATGAGGTAAAAAGCCTCATGGCATGTGCTGAAGTCCATGATCAAAGCAGAATACTGTCAACCGGCTGTATGTGGGAACAACTGTACATGTCAGCCCATGCTAGTACAGTCCCAGACGTCGATGAAAACCCCATCTCATACATAAACACACGAGTGAAGCCAAGCGTTGAGATGAGCCATCGCACGGCAAACCTGGATGGAGCATGACGTACTTAGCTGACAGAGAGGCGGCTCTTGCAACACAAAAGGGAAAAAGACAGTACACACATAAATCGAACGGCTGTGCTCGCGGTTGCTGGCCTTGACTGTTTTAACACACAGAGGCAAAGTAGAGGTCCTCAGACATAAAAACATTGAGAGACAGAGACAAGAGGACAGGGAGGCTAAACTTATCCAGTGGGACGCACTGTGAGTGGCCTCCCCCACACTCAGCCCCATGCTTTTCCCAAGAGGAACAGAGAAAGAAGAACCACAGTTAGAACAGTCGTAGAACAGCCACGCAAACGTCGTGCCAAAAGGGCACTGTTATACACAGGCATAGTTACACACACCAGATTACAAACGGGACAAAAACACAATGTTGCCAAATGTCTGTATTTTGTGCGGCTGCATTTAAAGTCAACATGAAATGTCCTATGCTACCATTTTACTTCTATACTGTTATATTTCAACCCGAAATTTATTGAGAAAACTTAATATCAAATGCATTAAATCGTATAACTTATATAGTACATATCAAATATATTAAGTATGAAATAAATCAGTAACGTGATATAGTATAGTAATTATTTTATAAAATTATAATTATTCAAATTATTCTATTTCATTTTATTATGCATTATATATAATGCATAATAAAATAATGTAAAATAATAACACGCACACGCACACAAAATTAAAGCATTGCTGGAAGGTCTTTTAAAAATGCATTGCTTGATAAATAATTTGTGCAACATTATTTTCCCAAAACATATTGGCCTTGATTGTTTTATCAGAAAAGTAAAGATAAAGTTATTATTCTGATAAGGAAAAACAAATGTTTGAAAAAACATTTGCATTAAGTCCAAGAGTCTGAAATCAAATCAAAACAAAATTAAATGGGAAAAAAAAACTTAACATCAGATTTCATGTTGACTTTAAATTTGAATGTAATGGTATGACAAAGACATAAAAAGGACTACCAAGTTTGGAGACCTCACTTTCCTATTGTGTTCCTCTCACACATGCTATCCTTCATAACAAATCATCAGTGTTATGGAAACATATGAACACAGTGAATATAGTCTATGATACAGCTCTGTAAAGGAGCTGTGAGGTTGGGACAGGTAAAACGCTGACAGTTTTAGAACTCGTGAAGAGCAAACGACAATCATGCTGTTATTTAAATTCACACTTACAGTCAGCAGAGC